GATCACAGGGTGGAGGAAGGCACTGAGTGCCAGGCTCAGATCATGGGGTGGTGGGGGGCACTGAGTGCCAGGGTCAGATCATGGGGTGGCAGAGGGCACTAAGTGCCAGGCTCAGATCATGGGGTGGTGGGGGGCACTGAGTGCCAGGCTCAGATCACAAGGTGGTGGGGGCACAGAGTGCCAAGCCCCCATTTGGGTTCTGGAAACTAAGGCCATGACTTCCAGGCTGTGTCTGACATGTGACTATGAGGGTTTGTATGTGCAAACTATGTGAGCGTGGGTGTGTGCCCTGTGAGAGACGATGCATGTCTGTTGCATGCGTGTAAATGTGAGTGTGGGTGTGTGCACAGGTTGTGTGTTGTGTGAGCAAAAGCATGTGTGTAAATGTGAGTGTGTTTTGAGGCCACCAAGTCCCGAGGCTGGGCAGCTTGGAACCCCTCAGAGCGGTTTCCCCCAAGCCCACCCAGGTGGGGTCCACAGGCCCTCCCCATTTCTAACTCCCCCAGGGCCCTGGGTTCCCAGAGGAGGTGCCTCTTCCTGGCTGTCACAAAGGTGCTATTAGGGCCTGGCCCCAAACCACCTCCCCTCCTGCCTGGGCACCCAGGTGGAGATAGGCACTGCCCCAGCCCCTGCCCCACCAGCCATGCCCCGTGTCCTCCAGTGCCTCTCAGAACTGCCCCCCTCTCTGCAACCTCTGTTTGTGCCACTCCCTCCTCCTGGAGTGAACTCAGAGAGCAGAGGAGACCCCAGGCACACCCTTCCCTGCCAGCTGGGCACAGCTTCCCCAGCACCCTCAGTCACCCTTGCTGTGAGAGAGCTGGCATCCAGAGACCCCCAGAGAGAGGGCTGGCTGGGACTGTACCCACCTGAGGACCCTGGAACCTGAGCAAAGGGCACTGTGGGTGCAGGCCCACCTCCAGACAGAGGGAACAGCAGGTGCAGGGGATGGCCAATGGGCTTGGGAGAGGACAGTGAAGGGTTAGATCTGGTGTGGCCTTGTGGCCCAGTGAGGACCTGAGCAGTATTCAGAGTGCATGGACTTATTTGGGCAGGGGGAGTGGCTGACCCTCTCAAAGGCCACTCGGACTGTGGGTGGAGATGGGGAGGCCAGTCGGGAAGGAGGCTGGTGCAGTGGCCCAGGCATGGTCTGGGGCTCTGCTCTGTGAACCTGGGGCATCACTCGGGGAAGGGAGTCCTCCGTGCCAGCCCCCAGAATTATGACAGTGAAGGAGATCTGATCCAGCTGACCCCCACTTGCCTTTCATCTCCAAACTGCCCTTAGCCATGTCTGGGTATAATCGCCCTTCCCCAAAACGCAGCTGCCTTTGTAAAGCTAATGAAAGAAAGGCCACCACTGCATTAGGAAGATGAGAGGAGTCTGAGTTCTTCTAGCGTAGCCTTAAACAATTCCCAGCGGTAACTCCCTGCCGTTGTTCCAGGGGTCACAAGATTCCCACCCCCCCCAGTTACTCCAAATAACATCACTACTGTGATCCTCAGACTGGCCTTTCGAGATGGGCTTTTCAGGTTTTTGCGTGTCCAATGACTGATGGATGGCTCTAGCAAGGCCCACCAACCCGGCAGCTGGCCCTGCGGCCCCTCGGATGACATTCAGTGCACAGGTGGATCATCGTCACACCTTTACTACTGCAGCACCAGCCAAGCAGTGGCACCCATTCCCTGGCCCACCAAACTTTCCTTGAAAGACCCTAGCATCCAAATTCTTTGATAGGCTGATTTGAGGAATAATAAAACTTGGTATCCCCTCCAGGTGGCTCTGCATGAATTAAACTCTTTCTCTATTGCAATTCCCGTGTTGATAAATTGGTTCTATATGGGCAGGGGTTGAAATTAACTGACGGGGTGATACATACTAGTATATTTTCTTCCTTCTTTTCCTCTCTTCCTGACTCCTTCCGAGGGCCAGAATAGACTCGGTCTTTGAGAAGAGGCCCAAGGTTCCCTGAGTAATGGTAGGAGCACCTGAGGGAGCCTCATGCATCTTGGGGATCAGGCCCCAGTTCCAGGCTAATCTTCACTGCCCACCAGCACTGTCCAAATTCTGGGAGGCCACGTGATCCCGTGTCCCTGAGGTGGCGGTGACATGGGAGTTAAGAAGAAATTACTTAGGCAGAAGTGAGGGTAAGGAAGTTCTTGGTAAGGTTTTCCTTTTAATGAAAAGCAGCCCCCAAATCATTTTCTTTTCTAACCAAGAGCAGCCTGTAAAATAGAGCTGCAAACATAGACAGGCAAGCTGGAGGCTTGCACAGGTGAATGCCAGCAGTCACGCCAACAGGAGAAAGCAAGCACTAGTCCAGTCCAGTGGCCCTGGGTTCTAGCCCCACCATGTGCCTGGCATGATCAAAGGGCAGCTCCATCTTCCCTTCTCACGTGTATAGTAGGAGCAGACAAGATGGCACTGGCCAAGTGGGAAGCCCATTTGCAAATAAGATTAGGGTGGGGCGACCAGCCTTCCCCACGCCATATGTAAACATCACATTTGGTCATGCCAGTCTGTGGGCCCTTGGTAGATCAGACACTGCCTCCTCAAGCCTGCCTATAAAATGTGCCATGGTCTGCTGCCAGCTTTTCCCTTTTGGATGTCTTTGTCTCCAAACAGAGCGCTGCTCCCTTCTCTCCTTTCTTCTGCCTATTGAACTTTCTGCTCCTTAACCCGTCTACGAGAATCTGTGTCCTTAATCTTCTTGGCATGAGACAAGTAGCCCCAGATATTTACCCCAGACAGTGATGCCACTTCAGCAGCAGTCACAGCAGGGATGGAGCCAGCCTTCCCCAGGTGGGGGTGGGGGTGGGCGGGGACTTTGCTGTCCCAGGAGACCCTGCCATGGGAACCCGAGTCCAGTAGCCCTGGGTTCTAGCCCCACCATGTTCCTGGTATGCTCCTGACTCCATTTCCTCTTCTGTGAAACACATCTGACTCTAGCAGCCCCAAATTGCTGCCTCATGGAATTGTGTGCAATAAAAATGGTTGGTTTCAAGCTACTAAGTTTTGGGGTGGTTAGTGATGCAGCAGTTAATAGCTGATAGGAGAGTAAGGGCAGAAATGAAGACTTGAAAGGAAGCAAGACCACAGTGGTGTGGATGGGAGGGCAGGTGGAGGGAGTGAGAAGAGGACAAATACTGGCTGGATTTTGAGGGTAGAGGATGTGGATATGCGGGGTGGAGACTGTTGAGGGTGAGTCTGAGTGAATGGCAAGGTGAGTCATCATTTGTGAAGGTGGGGGAGATGCAATGAAGCAAGGCTGGGCTGGAAGACCAAAGCTAAGCAGAGACATTGGGCAGCACATAGGAGTCTGGATTTCTGGGGAGGGGCCCTGGCAGGAGACATGAATTCAGGCGTTGTCAGTGTTGGATGGTTTTTAAAGGCATGACACTGGAGGAGATCATCTCGGGGGTAGAGACTGGTTGAACAAAAGGAGCCAAAGAATGGCCTGGTCAGTAGGTAATCAGCAAGGGAGGGGAAGGAAGAGAAGAACCAGAGGGTAGGAGGGTCCTGGGAGCTCAGGGAACAACTGAACTGAGGAGTGAGTTGGCTGGGCACATTGGCCTGGAATCCCAGGATCTGGAGATCCCTTGAGCCCAGAGTTCGAGACCAGCCTAGGCAACATGGCTAGACCTCATTTCCACAAAAAATTAAAAAGATAGATGAGGTGGTGTATGCCTGTAGTCCCAGCTACTCTGGAGGCTGAGGGAGGAGGATCCCTTGAGTCCAGGAGGTTGAAGCTGCAGTGAGGAGATTGCACCATCATACTCCAGTCTGGGCAACAGAGTGAGACTCTGTCTCAAAAAAAAAAAAAAAAAAAAAGGAGGAGTGAGTTACCCAAATCTGTATGTTTCCTATTGCTGCGCTAACAAATTACCAAAAATGTGGTGGTCCAAAACAATACAAATTTATCTCACAGTTCTGGGAGTCAGAGTCTAAAGGGACAATGAGTGTCATGGTCTAAGATCAAGGGGTCAACAGACTGCATTCCTTCTGGAGGTTCCAGGAGAGACCCTGTTTCCTTGCCTCTCCAGCCTCTAGAAGCCGCCCACATTCCCTGGCTTGTGGCCCCTTCCTCCATCTTCAAAGCACATTAGTCCAACCCCTGTGTCCATTGTCACATTTCTTTTTCTCTCTGCTTTCATCTCATTGTCTTCTCACTAGGCTTCCTATCTCCCACAAGAAACCCTGTGAGGACACCTGCCCTCCTGCCTGTACCCATGGGCTCTGCATCCAGATGGAACCAACCAGGGAAAAAATTCGGAAAAAACCTGTCCGTACGGAAACAACCTGTCCGTACGGAAACTGTACAAACTTTTCTCTTGTTGCTATTCCCTAAACAAACTGTATAACAACTATTTACATAGCACTTACATTGTATTACAAGTATTCTAGTGGTGATTTAAAGTATACAGGAAGATGTGAGTAGGTTATTTGCAAATACTGAGCAAAATACTGAGGTTATTTGCAAATCCCTTTATGTAAGGGATTCGAGCATCGAGGATTCTGGCATCCTTGAGAGGTGATGGAGCCAATCCTCTATGGATACCCAGGGATGACTGCACATTGGACTCACCCTGATAAAGCTAAGAATCTCCCCATCTTAAGAACCTTAGCTTCACTGCATTTGCGAAGTCCCTTCTGCCATGTCAGTAACGTATTCACAGGAGCTGGAGCTTAGGATGTGGACATCCTTGGCGGCCATTATTCTGTGCACCACAGTCCACCCTCCAGTTTTCAAAGATTGACACAGGCCTCACGGGCCACATTCATGGACCCATCTCAAGGTCCTCCGCAGCCTCCACTCATTACCGCATCAACTCAGGTCCATACTCACTTAAGTCTCACCAGTTCGAAAGTTTCAAGTCCCATCACCTGAATCATCTAAATTGGGTCTGGATGGGGCCCCAGCTAAGGAAGGAGTCAACCAGGCGGCTGAGCGCCGGCCCTGGTGACCCGCTTCCGCGACGCGAACGCAGCACCGCCCTCCCTGCAGCGAAAACCGCAGCGGGAAGGCTGTCCTGGGCTGGGCGGCACGAACCCCTGAGTGCCTGAGGCTGCCCCAGGACTGCGGGAGCCCCAAGTCTCAGCGCAGGGTTCACTCGTCATGAAAGGAACGTGAGCCTGCGGGCGCCCTGCGCCCATTCTACAGATGGAGAGAGCAGCGCGGAACCCTCTCCCTTCCCCTCCCACGCTTCCCTTCACCCTGGAACCCCCATTCCTCCCCTCCCCCTCGCCTCCTCCCTTCCCACGCCCTCCGTCTCCATCCAGTTCTGGGAAAGCGCGGGTCCGGCTCCCATACACCGACGTGCCGAGTCCTCCAGGCTGCCTAGAGCGTCCCGGAAGTAGCTGGGGGAAGGTGGCAAGGTGCGGACCGGAGAACAAAGTGGCCGGCACTTCCGGCCAGCGGAGGCGGCTCGGGGTGAGCAGGGTGAGTGGGGTCCTGGCCTGAAGCGCCGGGCCGCCAGGCTGCCGGGCCTGGCCGGGGCGGTCCGGGTGGGCGCGGGCGCGGGCCCAGGCAGGCGCTCTTCAGTCCTCGCTGGGCGCGGGTGGCGAGGGCGGGGAGCCGCAGTCTGGGCTGGCGGGCGCGATGGGAGGGGCGGGTGGGGCGGGGCTGGTCGCGAGGCCGCGGGGCCGGGCCGAGCCGCGGGCGGCAGCGCCCCCTCCCGGGAGCCGCGCTCGGAACCCGAAGCCCTGCGCTTCCCGCGCGACCCCCGCGGCCTGAGCGTGCGGCCCCAGAGCCGAACCCAGCCCTGGCCGCCGGGCTTGGCTTTGGCACCCCAGCCCGGAGCCTTCCTGTGCTTCCCCTTCCAGGGAGGCTTGCTAACGAGGCCCGCCTGCCTCCTAAAACACCAGACCGAGACTTTTTCCCCTTTTTTACTCCATTTTTTGTTTTTGTTCTTGTCCGAAACTGCGTCTCTGCCTGCTAACGGGAACCCTGGGGTAGAGACGCTTTCCAAGCGACCCTCGCCAGCAGCCCAGCGCTCTCTGTGCGCCACGGTTGCCCCGCGAGAGGGCTCCCGGCGGGACCCGCCGCCGGCTCCGGGTGCTCTCTGTGGGGCGCACGGCCCCAGGGTCTCTGTCCCATCCAAGGCCCCAGGCTTTCTGCCCATCCTTCTCCCCTGCACTACCCCAAGCTCCCCTCTTCCCCCGGCCCCAACGCATACACAGACACACGCACACACACACACACACACAAAATATGCCCTTGCAGAGGTCGTTTCCCGTTCCCCCCAACGCCCCCCCCCCCGCCCCTCCGTGTTCCTCGGGGCCTCTTCTCCTCACACAGGATGAGACTTAGGCCTCCCATTTCTTGTCTGTCCCTTGGACACAGAATTCCATGTTTCATCCCGTGTTCACGTGGTCTTGGGGGTCAATGCTTCCTCTGCAGTCGCAAGGGAAGAAAGCACCCCAATTTCTTTCGGCATGCCGTGTTGGCCTTTTGCTGAAGACGCTTCATAAGGAATATCTGAATTTCATTTTTAAAGGACGTGTTTAGTCTTGCAAGCGGGACGACACTGTGTTCAGCCACTCCGTGTCACCGTGCCACACCTGCACGCCAGGCATGGAGACCGGTCCACAACGAGCCCGTTTCTGGTGCTGAGTCTCCTCCAGGAAGCTTTTTCCGGCATCCCAGTCCTGATCAGTCCCTCATAGGCTACTGTGGGTGTCCATATCTTCCCTAGTTTTTCTACAGCGGCTTCATATTAAAAATCTTGAGAGTGGATGGTGGCCTTGCCTCCCTCCTGTTCCCCTCGGTGAGGTGTGCATAGCTCGCTGTGCCATGCCAGGCCACACACACATCACATCGTCACCCTCAGGAAACAGTGCGGAATCCTTAAGGGCCCAGGCCACATTTTACAGACCAGGAAGCTGACTCCGAAAGAGGACAGGACTCACCCAGAGCTGGTGGCTGACAAGCCTAGGGTTAGTCTTTGGAGCTTTTGCTGCATTCGAATGCACTCCTCATTCCTCTTGAGCTCTGGCCTCAAAGGAATGTGTTTTTGTGTGCCACGTGCAAGTAGGCCTCTGGCCACACACTCTGCATGGAATTGGCAGAAGCAGTTATGGGAAGGATGCGGGATGGAGGCTGGAACTGCATGAGTCCATCGTCAACTACTGCAGCCCTGCAGAGGAGTGAGGGAAGGGAGGCCCTGGGCCTGCACATAGGTCGCATGCCACACTGAGTCGGCCAGTTGTGTTGGGGCAAACAGGTTTCAGCCCTCACCTCCCTCAGTAGTGTCTTACTGGGTGAAGCGCGTTGCACGCCCTGACTCCTCAGGCTGCCCTGGCCTCACAGGGGTGTACCCTCTGTGCCCTGCCAGTCTGCTCGGGTCTAGGGAGAGGTGTGGGATGTGGTGCAGAGGTGTTAGGAGAGGATGGAATCGTCCAGCTGGAAGGAATGAGAATGACCAGATCCTGTTTATATAGGAGATGGGTGAGAAGATAGTTCAGAACTCCAACAGGAAGAAGTGATTGATTAGAGCCGCGATGTTTCTATGCCGTTCTTCTTTATACAGGTCAAAGATGGGTATGAAACCTAAAAGCACAGCATTTCATAGGGTGCTCGGCTGGCCCAGAAAGAACCCTTGCTCCCAGGGGGCCGTCGGGTGTCCAGGCATTTGCTTCTGGCCTGAATTCGTCATTTGTTCATAGACCCTCTCAAATGAGCAGATACTGAAGAAGCCCCTGCTCCAGGCTGGCTCGCTCCCGTGTCCTCTGAGCCTGCATGTGTGAGGGTGGGTGGCTGTCTGTGTGTGTGTGTGTGTGTGTGTGTCCAGCAGGCTCTGCGGCCCTGGCGTGGTTATGGGGCCAGGTGGATGGGCAGCGCCAGAGCCTGGGGTTTCTGAGACCAGTGGCTCAGTGTGGCTGCCTGGGGCAGGGTGCCCTGAGCTGAGTGTGAGGAGTTCCTCCTGGAAGAGGCCTGGAATGGTCACAGCTGTTTGCTGTGGCTCCTCATAGACACATCTGAGTGTGTGGTGACGGAGATCAGGGGGTGATTGAGAAACTGGCCGCACCTCCTAGCCCTTGGAGGAGCTTGAGTCCTCCTGTTCTGGAGAAACTTCCAATGCCTCATTTTTCTAGAGGCAGTCTGGGGCTCTGTGTTGGCGAGAGGAGTTTGGAGACCTGTTCCAGATGGGGTCTGAGGGCATGGTTTCAGAAGGGGTTTCTAAGATCTTCAGCTGGGAGGGTTGTGAAGATTCCTCCTCCCTGCCTCCCTCCACCCCTGCCTCTGCTCTTCCGGGAGGAATAAGGGATTTGAGGAGGTGGCTAGGCCAGGCAGCTCAGCAAGCAGTCACAGCAAGAAACTGAGTCTGGGCGGGTGGGAGGTTTGTTCTTGGGTCAGCCTAGCATCTGACTTCCTGGCTTCTCTGATGGCTTCTGCCTTAGCGCTTCCCCAGGAGAGGCCAGGCTGCTCCTAGGAGAGCCACTTCTCGTTTCCAGCTCTAGCGAGTGGCTTCAGGTTGCTTGGTGGGAGTTGGGTAGACTCCAGCTGAGCAGCACACCTGGGGGCTAGGCAGGGCTGGGCTGCTCCCAAGGCTGCCCTCTCCCCATGGTGCATGCTAATGTCTGCGTGGGTCCTCTCAACGGCACTTAAGTTTCAGCTGGAGTATCCCAGTGAGGCTAGAGGCATGAGGATGCCAGGAGCGTCCCGGTGAGGCTAGAGGCGTGAGGATGCCAGGAGTGTCCCGGTGAGGCTAGAGGCATGAGGATGCCAGGAGCGTCCGGTGATGCTAGACGTATGAGGATGCCAGGAGCGTCCCGGTGAGGCTAGAGGCGTGAGGATACCAGCAGGGTCCTGTGTGCACCCGTTGCATTCCTCTCTCTTCCCCTTCTGCTTTCCAGCCCCTGAAGTGCTGTGCCTGGAGAGACCATTGTGGACCCTGGAGAGGCCCCTGCTGCGTATGTGGTAAAACCTTGACCACCCCAAACCTGGTCAGCATTTGAGGGGAGCCACTGCCACAGTACCCACAGAGAAGGCAGGGGTTGCAGCTGTGCGGAGCAGCAGAGGGACAACTGACAGGGTCACCTCCCCTGCAGAGAGAACTGGCAGCTGACCGTGCTGCTGGGAGCCAAGGCCTGGGCGTGTGGAGCCTGGAAGGCAAGGGACCCCTGAGGCAGCGGGTGCAGTGCGTGCAGTGGGGAACCTGGGAGGGACTGGGGCTGTGCTCAGGACAGCAGAGCAGGCGGGCAGAGTGGAGAGGGAGAGACTGAGGCCTGGGAGGGGAGCAGGAGGAGGGGGAAGGAGCAGCAGCAGTCCAGGCCTGGCGTGTGGCCTGTGAGCACTAGGACCAGCCACCCCTCCCCATGGCCTCCAAGCCGGCTGCCGGGAAGAGCAGAGGGGAGAAGCGAAAGAGAGTGGTGCTGACCCTGAAGGAGAAGATTGACATCTGCACGCGCCTGGAGAAGGGCGAGAGCCGGAAGGCGCTGATGCAGGAGTACAACGTGGGTATGTCCACCCTCTACGACATCAGGGCCCACAAGGCGCAGCTGCTCCGCTTCTTTGCCAGCTCGGACTCCAACAGGGCGCTGGAGCAGCGGCGCACGCTGCACACGCCCAAGCTGGAGCACCTGGACCGCGTCCTGTACGAGTGGTTCCTGGGGAAGCGGTCCGAGGGCGTTCCCGTGTCAGGCCCCATGCTCATTGAGAAGGCCAAGGACTTCTACGAGCAGATGCAGCTCACTGAGCCCTGTGTCTTCTCTGGAGGGTGGCTTTGGCGCTTTAAGGCCAGACACGGCATTAAAAAGCTAGATGCGTCCAGTGAAAAGCAGGCAGCTGACCACCAGGCAGCGGAGCAGTTCTGTGGGTTTTTCAGGAGCTTGGCTGCAGAGCACGGGCTGTCCCCCGAGCAGGTTTACAATGCTGACGAGACCGGCCTTTTCTGGCGGTGCCTGCCGAATCCCACTCCAGAAGGCGGGGCCGAGCCTGGCCTCAAGCAGAGCAAGGACCGGCTGACCGTCCTGATGTGTGCCAACGCCACAGGCTCCCACCGGCTCAAGCCCTTGGCCATCGGGAAATGCAGCGGCCCCAGGGCCTTCAAAGGCATCCAGCACCTGCCTGCCGCCTATAAGGCCCAGGGGAACGCTTGGGTGGACAAGGAGATTTTTTCTGATTGGTTCCATCATATCTTCGTGCCATCCGTGAGGGAGCACTTCAGAAGCATAGGTTTGCCAGAAGACAGCAAGGCCATTCTCTTGCTGGACAGCTCCCGGGCTCACCCGCAGGAGGCTGAGCTGGCATCCAGTAACATTTTCACCATCTTCCTGCCTGCCAGTGTGGCCTCGCTAGTGCAGCCCATGGAGCAGGGCATCCGGAGGGACTTCATGAGGAACTTCATTAACCCTCCGGCCTCCCTGCAGGGCCCCCATGCCCGCTACAGCGTGAACGACGCCATCTTCAGTGTAGCCTGTGCCTGGAACACGGTGCCCAGCCACGTCTTCAGGCGGGCCTGGAGGAAGCTGTGGCCATCGGTTGTGTTTGCCGAAGGCTCCTCGTCTGAGGAGGAGGTGGAGGCAGATCGCTTCCAGGCGAAGCCCCACAACAAGTCCTTTGCGCACATCCTGGAGCTGGTGAAGGAGGGCTCCTCCTGCCCCGGACAGCTTCGCCAGCGGCAGGCCACCGGCTGGGGTGTAGTGGGAAGGGAGGCGGAAGGGGGACAGCTGCCTGCACCCATTTCGCCAGCAGAGGCGGTGTGGAGTTCAGAAAAGACTCCGAAAACCAGCCAGGATGGTGGAGGAGACACTGGTGAGGGTGAGGAGGCCGCCTGGGAGCAGGCGGCCGTGGCCTTTGACACAGTCCTGCACTTTGCGGAGCGGCAGTCGTGCTTCAGTGCACAGGAAGTGGGGCAGCTGCGGGCGCTGCGTGCTGTGTTCCAGAGCCAGCAGCAGGTGAGAAGGCGGCATGTCGCCCTCGGGGCTGTGGTCAAGGTTGAAGCCCTCCAGGAGGGCCCTGGCGGCTGTGGGGCCATGGCTTGCTCTCCCTTGCCCTGCTCATCCACAGCAGGTGACAACTGATGGCTTGTCTGCCCTGCCCTGGCCACCAGCCTTGTTTTGCCATGCACGCTGGAGTGGCACGGTCCTGTGCCCCGGCTCTACCTGAGGCAGGAGGGCGTGTGCAGACACTTAAGAGCCCTTCCAGGAGTGGGTGGCCCATGGGTGTGGCTCAGGTGCTCAGGACGGTCCAGGCCCGAGGTTCCTGTGGATACAGGTTTTATTTTATCACTTGCTGTGGTGGAATTGAGGAAATGTTTTGGATGGGTCCACCCTAGCCTAGAACAGGCCAGAGCCTCACCCTGGAGGAATGGGGCCAGGCTGGGCCAATCTGGCTTCCTGTTTGCTGGCTGATATTGCAGTATCGGAGGGTGGAGATGTCTATCTGTCCACTTGGCGGGAAGTTGCCCTCCAGGCCAACAGGAGGCCATGGCCACTGCCCGCCACCCTTGGACAGGTTGTGTATGTCCCAAGGCCCACCTCCTGCATCTCAGAAGGCTCTATCCACTGGGCTGCTGGCCATCCCTTTGCTGGGTGGACCCCGAGCGCTGTGTCTGAGGGCAGATGGCCGAGAGCTGGGACTCAATTCTTGGCCTGCTGGTGGCTGAACAGGCCGTATGTCTCACTTCGGTCACGGCCTCAGGCAGCAGAATGACTCTGGAAGAATCCTCTGTTACGCGCAGATCCCATCATTCTGGCCCCAAGATGTGGGGGCCCCACGGAGAGTTGACTTGGTGGAGTTCCCTCCCGGGAAGAAAGTAGGAGCAGCTGACCAGGCCCTGCTTATCACCCAGATAGAGGACGTGGACCCTGCGTGCTATTTTGGCATTTTGGCTCAGAGTCCAATGTACCATATTGCCCAGAATTTCACACTTACGGCCTTTTCATGAATCCGTCTTCATCAGGCATCCAGAGATTAGTCTTCGGGTTGCACATAAGTCATTGAAAACCATACAGCTGGCTGCTTAGATTTCCAGCAGTGTTTGTGCTCTCATCCCCAGCTGTTACCACGTTAGTAGTACTTTCGGGGAGTATTATAACATATAGAACAGTATGTCTGTCCTGGTAGTTTCACAGAGGCGGTTGTGAGAGGATGTGGTTATTTTCTCCATGTCTGTAGGTGCTCTGCAGAATCTCCGTTTCAGGGGCAACACTCACTGCCTGCAGCAGAGATTCCAGAACACCCTGTGTCCACAGGGATAAGCCTCGTCTTTGAGAGACTGTGAAATAGGTGTATTCTTTTCCTTTCTTTTTTTTTGAGGCAGGGTCTCACTGTGTCAGCCAGGCTGGAGTGAAGTGGTGTGATCACAGCTGATGGCAGCCTTGACCTCCCTGGCTTGAGTGATCCTCCTGCCCCAGCCTCCTGAGTAGCTGGGACTAGGGGCGTGCACCACCACACCTGCCTTTTTATGTTTTTTGTGGAGATGGTCTCACTATGTTGCCCATTCTGGTCTTGAACTCTTGGCCTCAAGTAATCCTCCTGCCTCGGTCTCCCAAAATACTAAGATTAAAGATGTGAGCCATAGCATTTGGCCTCAATAGGTTTTTCTTGCTACGTTATTTTCAGTGCTTTGCCCTTGAATTCGCTTCCCTTCTTGAATTCGTATCATTTGGCCAAGTCAGCATGTAGTTTGCGTTCCAGCGTCTGCTGTTGATTCCACTGACACCTTTGTTCTCATGAGGAAGAGGACTGGGCTCGCTGTGGTTTCTCGTATTTTCACATCTGCAGACATGGGCAAAAGTCCTTGCTGACAGAGCCCTACCTGTGTCCTGGAAGTGTATGTTTCTTGCTTTGAATGCCTGCGTGAAGATATAAAAGCAAGTAGTTTTTAAAGATCTCTGCACCGAGTGACAGGCTGGTGGTTCCCATTCGGGTCCCGTTGCCTGGGTAGTGTCACTGCCACTGTTTGCTTCATGTGTCTGGGAACTTCTGCACAACCGTGTACTTTGTGCTGCTTCTGGGCTCATGTGTCACCTGTGGCAGAGCCTCGGAACCCAGTTTGCTGGATTGCAGCTGCTTGAAGCAACACAGGAGATGTCCGAAGGGCTCTGAAGCAGCCGAACACCCGGGGTAGGTGGAGCTGGGGAGGACATGGGGCGGTCAGGCCGAGCTCTGGGCTGGCTTTCCAGAGTCCTCTGGAGATGGCTTGTCCCTGTCCGACTATAGCTCCCTAGGACCAGAGCTCTTCCCACTCACGACCTGCTCCTGTGCTGGCTGGGCGGTAAGCAGTTGTCCCCGCTGAGTAACTCGTGGATGCTTGTCCCTGCTGAGTGGCTGTGGTGGACACCTGTCCTCGCCGAGTGGCTGTGGTGGACGCCTGTCCCCGCCGAGTGGCCGTGTCTTCAGGGTGCTCCTCTTCCAGACCAATTGCAGCAAGGCCTGGAGCCTGAATCTCAGCGCAGCCCCTGTGGCTGGAATCCCTTGTGCCATGCTGGGGAGTTGGGCCATGCTGCATCTCCCTCTCACCCGGGCTCACTGCTGGAGGTTGTCCTGGAGTGAGATGTTTCAGGAGCCCAGAGCTTGCTCATCTCTGAGCTGCTGGGCCCAGCTGCCTGGCACATACCTCCTGCCTCTGTCCTGTCCCCAGAAGGCTTTGTGGAGACCATCATGTCCTCTGTACACACTGTGTTCTTCACTTCCTGACCAGTCTCAGAAGCTTAAGTGGTTGAACATTGGAGCCTCAGAATCTGCCTGCTCAGGTGGAGCCCTGCTGTACCAGACACCACAGCACAGTATTGCAGGGCTGCGTCTCTTCACTTGTTTCTGGGGCTGCTGAGGCCCCTGGGAAGCCCTGGAGCTCACCAGAGCAGAAAGCGAAAGTCTCCAGTCCCATTTAAGTGCCTCTGCCTTTTGTCTGTGAGCACTGGGCTGGAGCCATCCCCGTCTTCTCACAGTGACCCTACAAGTCGCAGCCTCCGTTCTCCGGTGGCCAGCGGGGGCAACGAATGTTGCGACATCTGGTTTGGCACCTCTGTGGCTGCTTTCAGCCTGCTCGTAGAACCTCTTTCCACCACTGTGTTCATCTTTGCGGTGGCATCCCTGAGTGCTCAGGCCCAGGGGTCCTTTGTCCTCACTTGGGACAGGCAGCCTCTGCTCTGGGAGCTCTCATCCCTTGGGGTGTCCAGGGGAGGCCATACTTTGAGGGTGGCCTGGTGAATTCAGGGGTCGGGATGGGTAGGTGGTCTTTCAGCCCCTTCTACCTTGGGGTTGGTTTCCAGAACACCTGTACTACCTGTGCCAGCCTGGCCCTCTGTGGGTACCCTAGGCACACTGTCCTGAAAGCTGTCTCCTGTGTAGGAGGGTCTAGAGTGGACCCTGCCCCTCACTACTAACTCGTATTGTGGTGGGTAGACACACCCTGCCCTGGGCCTGTCTGTGCATTACTTCCATACGCTTCCTTCACAGCCCCGGCCATGGCTGAGCATGCAAGTGGAGACCGCTCGGGCCACCCCTGATGCCGCAGGCCAGGGCTCTTACCCAGTGGGCCAAGATTGATTGCAAGTGGCAGGTTGATTGGTGAAAAATAGGAAGGCAGAAGGGAAGTTGCAGCCTCTGCCCACTGCTTCCCCAGCTCCCCGGGGTTGGAGGACTGTCATCAGTTGTCCACAGGTAGAGTCCATTTGGAGGAGCTTCAGGATCACAGTGGCGAGATGTGCTTCTGGAGGGACAGGGTGCGAGGCAGGGATTTGCACGAGGTGTAGGCTGCATCCATTCCTGGGAGGCTGTGGCACAAATCAAGACCCTTATACACCACTTCAGGACCTCACCTCGCGCCCCACTATGGCGAGCTGGGTGTGGTGGCTCCCGCCTGAAATCCCAGCACCCTGGAAGGCCAAGGCAGGAGGATCACTTTAGTCCAGGAGTTTGAAACCAGCCTGGTCAACATAGGGAGACCCCATCTCTACAGAAAATAAAAGAAAATGAGCCAGGTGTGGTGGTGTGTGCCTGTAACCCCAGCTGATAAGGAGGCTGAGGCGGGAGGATCCCCAAGCCCAGGAGTTTGAGGCTGCAGTGAGTTATGGCCACTGCACTGCAGTCTGGGTGACAGAGTGAGAGACCTCATCTCAGAAAAATAATAAAATGTGATTACGAGGTCAGACGTGGAGATCAGGGTGGGGGAGACCATGAGGTAGCGGGTAGGATGTGGACGGTCATGGATGGGTGAGTGTGGCAGCTGTGAGGGGTGGGTGGTGGGCTGGGATGCAGGTCCTCGGCAGGGCTTCTGCACTTCTGCTGCTTACCCAGCCCCGTCTGGGTCCGAGGACTCTCCTTGACGGGCTGAGCTCTCAGGCACTGCCTTGGGCTCAGTTGCTTGCTGGGAGGCTGGGGAGAATGAACCTGTGAGGCCTTGTTTGAGTTTTTCCCTGCCCAGCTCCGGTAGACCCCAGGCCTGGCTGTCTGCAAGGCCAGCAGTTGCAGTCATAGCAGCCACCAGCCTCCCAGCTGAGCCCCAGCCCCCCCCAACATGCTTGCTCCTTTGGCCACGTGTGGACTCAGCTCCGGCCTCCACTTCCACATGTGGACCCTCAGACCTTGCACATTTGTTTCCCTTTCAGGGCAGTGATGATGACATGAAATGAGGTGGGGTCCTTCCTGTTTAGAGATGAGACGGGGCAGGGAGGGCAGGTGTGAAGTTGCCGAGGGCAGAGCCAGACCCAGGGCTGCCTGTTGAGTCCAGCAGGGACCTGCTCCTGGTGACCAGCCTTATGTTCTCCACTGCTCGTTCCCTGCCAGTCACCAGCTGCGTGACCTTGAGCAGTGCCCTCCGGTGTGAACAGAGGTGAAAACGCTCCTTTGCCAGCCTTTTTAGGGCCCACTCTTGTGTGAGGCCTTGAACCTCATTTCAGTTCCATGGTGGCTGTGAGCCTCTGAATCGGCATGGCCCCTGCTGGGTCTT